GTACAGTATATTACCAGATATTAGTTGAATTCTGTTTTCTCCTTTTCTTCTTATCTCTGTTAGCCCGATTATGTCCCATGATATCTTGGATATTTCCTCTTCTAGCTCATATACCTTTATGTCGTCGCTCATTGATCTTATGTTGTATGTTCCAATGTTCAATTTTGTCGAATATCTGCCTCCCCCAGAATCCTTGAGGCTGACCGTTTTCACGGTGAGGGAGTCTGAGCTGTTTACTCTACCCACCTGGGGTATTTTTCCATTTGTTTTGTAACTCGACATTTTTAGGGGGTGTTTTGACATTAAAACGCCACGCTTGTCAAACGGGTTGGCGAGTTCGTGGATCAGCCGCCCGTTCAGGGTCAGACGTTGTTGCAAGCCGCTCATTCTCTGATAGACGCTGCGGTGATCTAATTTTATACTAACCCTAAAATCGGGGGTTGCCACTTCCGCTATACACACCTTACTGAAGAAGTTTTTCTCCGCCGTGGATACCGTTGTGTTCTTCATCCGTGACCCTAAACAAGGGACCCTAAGCAGGTACTAGTTTCCCGGGTCAGGAAACTCCTGGAATCTGCGGAGGGCAGGGATTGATTTATTTTCCCCAATTTGTTTTATTATATTGCCAATATTGTTTGAATAAAAAAATTATAAAATTCGAAGAAATTTGCTAACTTTGTTTAGTTTTGCACATTTTACTTTTTACTGCATGAATTTTTGTTTTTTGTCAAAAATAAATTCTCAGATAAGCATTTTAATTTTATTTTTACGTAAAATTATTGAAAAACCCAACTATGAGAAAAACTTTATTGACAAAACAATTTTTTTTTTGTGCCAGATATGGAACATCATGCCAAAAAAGTAAAACTAGTTTAAATACAGTATATCTCACCGGCAAAATTACCGGAACACCTTAACAATGGGTCATATTAGATGTCACGAATTTCCTAAACCTGTTGTCCGATTTGAGTGATTTTTTTAGTATGTTATAGTTATATTATTTAAGAATATCGATGTAATAATATTGTTGCTAGACAGGTCAGTGTCATTTTATACCGGGTGTAACAATCATACTGTGTTTTTTCCTTAAAGTTCAGAACACCCTGTGGAATATTCTAGCATATATAAAATATTGAAATTAAATCTCAATTATACCCTTAGGCTTTCTTAACATTGTCTGTTTTGATTCATTTGCTTGTGTTAGATAATAAAAAAGTTAGGTACTTTAACAACTAGCCATGTTTTTAATCAATAAATGCTCATTTTCTTCTTAGTTTCACCGGTATATTTAAAGGCACAGCCATAAAATCTGAGTATTTTCTCTACAGTCTATATATTGTTAATATTGTTTAGATAATATCATAATACGAATATGAAACCGGTTTAAGAAGAAATAAAACACAAATATGTCAGACTCAAACAAAATACGGATTTTAAACACATTAACTTTATGGCACAGTTTAAACTTAAATTGGTTTTTTATGCATTTTTTTTGGCTTTATTAGCTTGTGCTTCCCCCACGAGCCCTTACAACTGCAGTTATTCGTCTTCTCATACTTCTGATAACGATATAGATCAGTTCTTGAGGCAGTCTCTCCCATTCCTCAATCAAAGCAATTCTGACTTCCTCTCTGTTTTGAATAGCAGGAACCCGTGCCCCAAGTTTTCTGCCTAGCATGTCCCACACATGCTCTATCGGGTTCAGGTCTGGGGAACAAGCTCGCCAATTCATCGTTGTTACACCCACTTGTAATAAGAAATCTCTTACACAGCCTGCGACGTGTGGGCGCGCATTATCCTGCATTAAAATAAAATTTTCGCCAATATATGTTGCCAAAGGTACCACATGGTCTTGGAGAATATCTCTGATATACCTATCTGCTGTTAATGCTTCATCATCAATCACCACTTACACTGTTCTTGCTCCCAAACATATACCGCCCCACACCATAATTGAACCTCCACCAAAAGGTACGGTCGTAGTAAAATTAACAGGAGCATTTCGTTCTTCTTGTCGTCGATACAATCTTTCTCTACCGTCGATGTAATTTACACAGAAACAGCTCTCGTCCTTAAAGACTTACACAACGATGGATGGTTGATGGTGATTTACCAAATATTCCAGCAACTTCTCTGTACGTTCGACCATTTTCGACCATTGTTACGGCCCTAGCAACATCAGTCGGTAATAAATCACCAATTTGTACTTTATTATCTGTAATTTTATATATAGCCCAAGAGCTTACCAAAAACTTTTTTTATTATTGAATATTGATTACGTTGAAAAAATTGATGTAATAGTTACCGCTGAAATCTGATTCTTTAACAGATAAAGATGAAGCCGATGATAATTTACCAAAAACAGCCGGAGTAAACGATGTACTTGGAAAATTGGTAATAAAATGCAAAACCATTAAAAAATATACAATCGTCCGAAATCGATGAATCTTTTCTTCAAAATGTGACTATCTTCTAGAAGTGTTGTCGACCACATTGACCCATCTTATTCTATTCACAGCAGCTCGAAATAGATCAGTTGACGTTAGACCAGTCTATTTCCTAAGATTTATTAGCCTGGATATACGTCTACGTTCAGGGCCTCTCTTACCCTCAATCTTGCCCTGTAGAATCAACTGTAGGTATTTATCATTTTCCACTTTTTCTAACGGTGTATCGTTAATTGTAATTTGGGCGTTTAATGGCGGTGTTTTTACTAATGATCATTATTTTTGTCTTCTTGCAATTTAGTTTTGAGCCGTATTTAGCCATCATCCTTTGGAGTCCCTGCGCACTATCTGCCAGTAACACTGTATCGTCTGCATATCTAATGTTGTTTATAAGTTGGTCATTTACAGAAATCCCATCTTCTGATTTGTTTAAGGCCTCTCTAAAGATGTTTTCAGAGTATATGTTAAATAATGCCGGTGACAATATGGAACCCTGTCTAACTCCTTTTTCGACTGTGAAGATCTCGGACAGTTCATTTTCTAATCGTACTGTTGCTTTTTGTTGGAGGTAAAAGTTTGAGATCAGTCTTATATCCTTACCATCGAGTCTTGATGTTTTTAGGATATCGATTAGTTTCCCATGTGGCACTTTATCAAATTTCTTCTCGAAATCAATTAACCATGCATACAAGTTGCAGTTGACATCCCTGGCTTTCTGTATTAGAACTTGCAAACTAAAAAGTGCTTCTCTCGATGAATCTTTTACTCTCGAGACTAGTTGTGTTAGTTGTATGGTGTATATATGAGACCCTTAACGTACGTCGGTAGCACCACGTTTCGAATGCCTCTACTTATTTTAAAGAATCTTCTGTGAGACTCAAGCGTTCTCGTCCGTAAAGGATGACAATTAATACGTAATAGATAAGAGTTTTTATTTCGTAGTTATGATTCTAGCACGCATATTTTTTCTAGTCTTTCATTATACTTTATTAGAATTACTTATAAAGTCACTACATACAGTTGTGATCTTTTCATAGACATATTTCTAAAAAAAAACCAGTACTTTCTTAAAATTACATACTTCAGTACCTCATTAATACACTCTTTAAAGCACAATTGATTCAAGTCTATTATACGCAGTTTTTTCATTTTCTTGTAATTTCTCGACGGGTTCAGAACTGATTAAAGTCCCCCATATAATTTTCCCCGTAGGTGTTGAATGTCTTTTATTTGCAAAACAAATGAATAAAAAGACCCTCGGCTAGATTCTCACGATTTTAGGGGTAAACCGTTCAAATGAATTTATAAAAAAGGGAAAAATCCTGAATTTGGATTAAGGATCACATAAGTTATTCTACAAATTGTTATTTGAGGGTAGAACCGAAGTTAATTTTGTCGTTTGTTGAAAGGACTGGGAAAATTTTTCTTCAACGGTTTATCAACAACTATATATATATATATATATATATATATATATATATATATAGTGACAGCATATATATATATATATATATATATATATATATATATATATATATATATATATATATAGTATAGAATATTGAAGTAAACAATTTAATCTAGATAAAGACACACAAATGATTTCAATTAAAGAGTCTCTAAATATAAAGAAATGGTATAAGAACAATTCTCAGAAATAAACTATTAAATAATAGTAGTACATTGGTTGAAGTAAGCGAGAAGATAATAATCTTCATTAAAATCATAAATGGCTTAATACGACAAAACAATTCCTTGACCGTTTAACCTGTCCATAGTTATGCAGCCAGGACAGTTGCTTTCTTCCGGACAAAAGCCATACCCAAATATGGACAGTTGTTGGTACCTAATTATGGAATACTCTATAATTGGGTCGTTTTTTTCACATAGGTATTAGGTACTTTCTATAATTTCTTTTAAAAATTATGTGTTATATTTGTTTCTAGAATGTTAGCAGGATCCTGGCTCTCCTGGCATCCTTTAGGTTGGATTCAAATGAATATCTATCTTCACAGAGTCAGAGTGGTTCAAGCACTTCATTCAACATACCAACCTTACCCCTGAATATCGAAGGTTTTATTGATTGTAGATGGGCAATATAGTAACACTCCTAATATCGATATAATAGACATCGCTAGGGAAAAAATGTGGACATTGTTTCTTTACATTCACATATATCTCACAAGTTGCACCCGTTAAACAAGACTTTTATAAAACCATACTACAGTGAGGATAAGAAATAATAACAGACCCCTATCTCCCTAAAATATGATATTGTAAAGCTGTTTGGAAAATCTTATTTGAAAACAACAAACAGACGAGATTGCAGCCAACCATTTTAAGATCACTAGATTATGATATTTAAATTAAAATTTGTTTAGTGATATCGACTTTATTTCTGCGCAACATAATGATATAAGAGACGGTTGTACAACCAACATTACTAAACTAGAATCAAGATCTGAACTTTATCAAACACTGCCATAAATAACTGTACCAGAAATAAGAGGTAACGTAGTTCTGAGCTTAATTAGAGCACTCTAGGACTTGTGTATGCTATACACTCCGTATGCTATAAATCCAGTGCCAGAGAAACAAAGAAAAGTATCTAAAAATGTGTTCAGTAATGTGGACTTTATTGCTGCGCAACAAAATGCTGTAGGAAACAAATGTACAACCAACATCACTACACTTAAATCAAGATCTGATCCTGGTCAAGCCCTGACAGAAATCCCTTTACCAGAAACAAGTGCTAATGTACAACCTGAACATGTACCTTTGACTTCAGGGATTAATCGGAGCATTTTAGGAATAGTGTCTCCGTATTCTGTAAGTCCAGTGGCAGAGAAACGAAAAAAAGTATCTAACAGAAGAAGAAAAGCTACCGTAGCAGCTTGACCCTACAAGAATGATTTAGTAAATCAAAATTTAAAGAGACAAGAAAAAGAAAATAAATTAGCCAATACCAAGAATAAAAAGAAAACTGCAAAGAGAAACAAACGAACAAAGAAAAATAAGACTAATTCTAAATAAGAAGACTCTGAGGAACAGGACGTTATCCAGTTTGATGCAGACAGTAATCCTGATGAGTTGTTCCCAAGAATCTCCTGACTGTGCTAATGCTGAATGTACGTTTTGCCAAAGACTTTTTTCCATGGATAGCAGTGGAGAAAACTGGATTAAGTGCATAATATGTGGATTCTGGGCTCATTATGATTGTACTGGTCCAGACTTTGATATATGGATCTGTGACTTCTGCAAGTGAATGAAGCTACTTCTTTCATTTTTCACAATTTTTGTATTTAAATTTATTTGACCTTCTAGTTATTGATGCGTTGGTTCATGCTTTTATTCCATATATGAGTATATATATATATAATAACGGATTGATTACAGCTGTCGCCGCTTCTCCGCCCCCACTTTCCATCTTTTTCTGTCATACGCAGTTGCCTCTTCTAAGTCTCTTGCCGCCATTGCGTCATCAATGTCGTTGCGCCAACTTCTCCGTGGTCGTCCTCTCTTTCTTCTTTCAGGAGGGATCCATTCCAGTACACTTTTAGGCCATCTGTACTCTAGCATTCTTTTAACATGTCCAAACCAGATTAATTGTTTTCTTTCTATGTCATCATTGACATTTCGCTCCATTTTCATTTAGTTTCTTATTTGTTCGTTCCTAACTCTTTCTAGTTTCGATCTATCACAGCTTCGTCTCAGATAATCCATTTCTGTCATCATAAGTTTGTTTTTATTAGCTTTGGTACGTCCCATACTTCCGAACCGTAAAGTGTAATACTTTGGACTATACTACCGTAAATGTGTTTTTTGGTTTCTCGTCGAATTGTTTTTTGCCAGAGAAGAGAGTTTAATGCACGGGTCGCTGCTCTACCCTTGTTTATTTTTTCCCTGATTTCATCTGCGCTATTTCCCTTCTTATTGAAAATGACCCCCAAATATTTGCAGGATTGTACGCCTTTGATTTTGTCGTCTTCCAAGACTAGGTCAGATATTTCATCTGTTCCCACTGATAGATATTCACATTTTGTCATATTCATGTTCAGACCTGCCACCTCATATTCTTCTTGCAGTTTTCTTACCATATAGCTAAGATCGTAGGTATCTTCGGCAATTACTACCTGGTCATCCGCAAAGAAAAGTGTATATAGCGTGTTTTCTTCCACCGTTATTCCCATGTTTCTACATTTTTTTACCCATTTCACTAAGGATCTGTCCAAATAGATTTTAAATAAGGTGGGTGACAGACAGCAGCCTTGTCTTAGTCCCTTTGTTGTTTGACAAGGAGAGGTGATTTCTTGTCCCATTTTAATTCTTGCAAAGTTTTGTTCGTAGTATTTTTGAGTGGCGTTAATAAGAATTGGGTTTATTTTCAAGGTATCCATTTCTATCCATAGTTGGGAGATCGGTACACTATCATATGCTTTTTCCAGGTCTATTAAAGCTATATGGGTTTTTCTATTTCTCTGCACTCGTTTTTCCATTGCAATTTTTAATGTGAAAATATTACCCATAGTGGAGCGTCCGGACCTAAATCCCGCTTGTTCTTCGGGTTGTTTATCTTTAATATCATTTTCTACCAGGTTTCTCAGTACTTTTGAATATATTCGGCCTATTGTAGCTATCACTGCGGTCCCTCTATAGTTTTTAGGATCCGTTTTTGTGCCTTTCTTGTGTATTGGAGAGATATACAATTGTTTCCATTCTTCTGGAACTTCTTCTCCGTTTAAGCATCTTTCGAATAATTTTCTGATCATTTCAAGCACATTTGATGATCAATATCTAATCAACTCTGGATGTATTCCGCCTGGGCCTGGAGATTTTCTTAATTTCGTTTCCTTAACTGCTTCTTTCACTTGTTCTATTGATAATTTTATTCTTCCTTCTACTTGCACTTGTTCATTTGTCTGTTTAAACCTTTCTTTTCTCTCTGTTAATAAGTTCTCAAAATGCTCTATCCGTGTGTTCTCTGGTATTCTATTTATTATGACTTGGTTTTTTGTCGTTGTTCTCATCGTTTTTATAGTTCTCCAGGCTTCAG